TAAGGTCGCAGAGAGAGAGTGGCGAGCGAATTATGTCAACAAGTTGCTCGCAAAAATCTTGCGTCCTGCAAGTATTTGTCATTCGTGGCCAAGGGATTCGGCTCTGTTTAGTGGCGTGACTTCGGCACCGAGTATAGTCAATGCTCGTGCGCGAGATATAGTGTGTGCTCTTGTAGTATCACGCGCCCTCGAGTTGAGTATATGCACGTGCGCGTTCTACGCAGTGTGTGGGCCTTATGCGACTTACACAACTAAGTATATATAATGTGTGTATAATATATATATATATGTAAAGTGTAAATATGATACAATGTAGATTGTTATTATAACGCAATTATTTCGTAATGTTATTTAGTATATGCTAGAATGGTAATAGTAAGATTAAACGAATATGGATGTGCACTATATACGCATACGTATGTATGTATTTGTATATATGTGTATGTGTGTATCTTGTAGATTGTGTAGCGATTGCTAATGCGTTTTGTGACATCTTTTGTTCGAGTCGGCATTGTTAATATAATATATTTCTATATAATTCGTTTATTTGTGTTCTACTGTGTTTCTCCACATACACGAACTTTGAATTCATGTATGCAAAGATATCAAAATTTGTTACCTGAGTTGTTTTTTAAATACGTCGTTTCCGGGTGTCGTTTCGAAGATGATCAATTTCAGATGTTCTGTTTTGGTTAAAGTGTGTCCGGAAATCATATAAGTTCCTTTGCTGGCAAGGGCAAAGAGAGTGTTTTGTGTAAGAGAATAAATTGTTTGTCCCGTAAAAATGCCTTTGCTGACATGCCTTGCGTGATATTTCTTGGATAAATGCATATTTTCCGTTGTAAACAACCATAGTGTGCGAAAACATTCCGCATTTACGGACTGTTCGATCAATTTCGACTTTACATTGCAAAACTCTTACTGATTGGAAATCGTTTATTTGTAACAATTGAACGTAGACTTTAGTGTTATTTACGCGCGGCGTGTTGGAATGTCGCATTCTTCAATGTTCAGGAGCGATAGAATTGTCAAATTCGCTGAGGATGATCCGCAATCGTATCCTATGATAGCCTGAACATTATACGTAAGACATAATAAAAATTATGACGGTAATTATCGCTTTTTCTCGATTCTCCATCTGAAATATAAAATCAGATTATCGATCCAGGTTTTATGTATGATATTCTCAATCGATTAGGATGTTACGTCCTAGGCCTACGGTAACGGTCGGGCTCTTGAGGAGTGACGTAACCGACACATGACACTTTGTGTGTCAACTCCCGGCACAGTGACCCAGAGAGATACGAGCGTCAAGTGCGCGGGTCGAGCGAGATTTCGGTGTCGTAAACAAGCCAACGAGTGTTTCTCGCTATAGCTTGTTTAACGGCTTCTCGCTCGTCGGTTCCTTTTTCGAGTCTTAGATGCGAATCTAAATTACTCGGGACGGAACCAGGCGATCGACTGAGAGATGACAGGAATGGGAGCGACTATGCGAGGTCTATGATTAAACTAACAAAAACCACCTTTATTAACATAAATGTTTATAAACTTGTTTATTTATTTATCATATTTAAATTTACTTACAATTTGCTTACTATTGGTGATATTGTGCGGTTGTTACATTATAAAGTTACGTGTAAGCGCGTGTGTGTGTGTAGGACTCAGTCAATGGTTATTTCTATATATTCTCTCACTATGGAAGATGAAGGTGGATAAAATCTATAGAAATAAGAAACAGGGACCTCGCAGATTTCTGGAATTCCTGGGAACTTTACTAATATTTTATAATCGCGAGGGAGGGTAGATATCGCATAACGGAAGGAATTCGGGAATTTTTTACGTAAGTCAAGAATTCTATCGGTTGGAGAAGGAGGGAGGTCGGCAACAGGGAAGGAATTTGCTAATGTGACATAATGTGCAAGGTCAGGAGGCAGAGAATCGTCATCATCGTCGGAGAGGATCTCGTGATCAGAAGAAGCTGGTGATGAAGGGGAAGGAGAGTTCTGTCGAGGAGGGGTGGAGGATTCATGTATATCAGAATTTTTATCGGGAGGAACGGGGGAATATAATGGAGATTCTAAGAGAGAGGGAGAAGGGGAGCGAGGGGAAGACTGAGTTCGGTGTGTGGAGGTGTGTGCGTCGTTGTTAATTTGTATTATGTCAGGACTGCTATTTTTTGTAATATTATTTCTATTGCTGACAGAAGGGGGGAGGTTGGTTCGCTCAGGCTGGTTAGCAGCAGTTCCGCGGCGTAGCGCCCGGTTACGACGGTTCCGTCGTGCTAATATCGCGCTCCGCGACTAGAGGTTTTTTCGGGATTCCGCTTAAAAAATGTCATTCGTTTAGTATGTTCTCTTGACGGGTCAAGACCAGCGATTAATTTCCGGAAACTAAAGTGAGCTTAATTTTCTCGCTTAATGTCACCAAAAGAAACTCGGCAGTTGTTCGGAACGACACAAGATCGTGAACAGCTAGTCCGACTGAAAGGAAATCGGCAGTTGTTCGGAACGACACAAGATCGTGAACAGCTAGTCCGACTAAAAGGAAATCGGCAGTTGTTCGGAACGACACAAGATCGTGAACAGCTAGTCCGACTGAAAGGAAATCGGCAGTTGTTCGGAACGACACGAGGTCGTGAACAGCTAGTCCGATTGAAAGGAAATCGGCAGTTGTTCGGAACGACACAAGGTCGCGAACAGCTAGTCCGATTGAAAGGAAATAAAAAAAAACTATGAACACGAATTTCCTCCGGATATGAATCGCTTTTGTCAAGTAACAAAACTTACGACAAGCTCAAGGGACCCGTTCTAGATACTTAAACTACTGTAATTATTGACTCACTACTTGCTGATCTCGGCAGTCAGCTCGCAACGTCGGCAGGTAGGCCGGCTCCGGATTGTCGGTAACAGTTATGGCTGATTGGCTGCAGGCCACTTCACTTACACCTCACTATTTGAACTGGTCGGAATGACTTCGAATAAACTGCAGGAGTGAGACTGACTAATTGATTGATTTGAATGGCCGAGTGTACAGTATTTATACTATTATTCAGGGGCCTCAGCTCCCTTGGCTTCGCCAATCAAACTTGGATCCTGATTCCCCCGTTGCTCTCTCGTGAAAAAGTTGATCTTTGATTCGTGGTTACGCTTTAGCGAGAGCGCCAATCACAGGCTTTAGCCCAATCGGCTGGATTATCTTTTGTTTAAGCTTAACTAGATTTCGGGTTATCATATTTAGATTCGAGATCTCGACGCTTGTTTGAGATCTTTTGTTTCAACTTTCTTTCTGGAGGAGCAGGAGGTCGAATTTCGGCCGGGTGACGCACCGCGCACATCACACAACGCGCGAGTATCTATTACCGCTCCGCATTCTACTGTGAATTAGAAACCAAATCTGTTTACTTATCGTGGCAACGTCTCGCGTGCGAACCGATTACAGTTCTTATCGCCACAGGCCGACTCCTGTTCTCCATCCGGGAAGTCTTAGCATCTCGGATTCTTAAAGCTACAACTATTTACGATTCTCAGAACGAAAAAATCGTTCTCACGTTGCAAAAAAAAGGGGACGTGAAGTCTAGGACGTAACAGGATGTACTATGCGGATATTCTTTTTTATAAAACTTCGTGAAGACCGGTGTATTGATCTCCAAATTTGCCAGGTTTAGGCCCTTTTAATAAAAATACCTGATCTCCTGGTCTAAAGATTCGTGGATTGATTTTTCAATCATAATAGATCTTAGATTTGTTTTTAGCCTCGATTACATTTTCTCGAGCGTTTTTCCGGATATTATGCAGTTGAGTTACTAAGTTTATCAAATAATCGTTGTAACTTGCCAATTTGTCGTTTACTGCTAGAGGTTCGCTGGAAGGAACTCGTGCTATTTTGCCAAAAACTAATTCGTCAGATGTATGTTTAGTTGCTTTGTGTACGCTAGTATTATAATTAAACAGTGCTAATCCTATCCATCTGTCCCACTGTTTTTGTTCGTTCGCGTATTGTTTTAAATATTCGCCTAATGCGTGATGTGATCGTTCTAATGACCCGTTAGATTGCGGATGAAAAGCTGTCGTACGGAATTTGCGGATTCGAAATATTTTTGCTACCTTCCTCATTAAATTGTTAATGAAATTTTTTCCTTGATCGATTAAGATGGTCTTAGGGGCGCCTAGTACACAAATAAATTTATTTACAAAAGCTTCGGCTATTGTTTCGGCAGTTTGATCTGGTAATGGTATTCCTATGCAAAATTTAGTTAATTGATCTTGCAAGGTTAGTATGTATATGTTTCCTTTCTCTGTTTCCGGCAGGGGTACTATATCCATTGCAACCTTGTCAAAAGCTGAGCCAAGTGTGTCAGTAATTACCATAGGTTGTTTTGTTTTTATTCTACCTAACTGTTTTAGTTGACATTGCAAACATTGTTGGATGTAGCGTTGTACGTCTAATTTTAAATTTTCTCAGCAGTAATTGTGTTTAATACAATTATATGTTTTGTTTACTCCGCGATGTTTTCCGGTCGGAGAACAATGAGTTTCTCCTATTATTATCGATCTCAGATCTTAAGGGGGGTGTTTAAGTGTTCCGTTACATATAATTAATTTAACAAACGTATTGATGAACGTTAATTGTAAAGTAGGTTTCATGTTATCCCAAGGGACATTATTAATATATTCTGTTTTCGCAATGCTTAATGTTTCTAGTTTTAAATTCTCAGCTTGGATTAAAGAGTCTTTTAGTGTAGTAGTAATGTGGGTTAATGTTTCGGTAGGCCCTTCTCGTTGTCCTTCGCTAACAGCTAGAGCCATATGGTATCGGTTTTTATATTTTATGGGTTTGGCTTCACCTATTGTGAGAGTTCGTAAATTAGACAATTCATTACGCTCAAACAACTTTTGCGAACCGGAATCTAAAGGATTTCCATTGGTATCTACGAAATATATTATATTATCTTTTCGCAAAAATAGTAATTCGCGAGATTCGATGATACAGTTGTTTATTGACTAAATATCAATTATCGTTGGTTTGAGTTTCTTCTTTAGTTCATGTTTTTTAGCGATTTTCTGTTTCTGTTTTTCCTCTTCTTCCTCGCTTTCTTCGTCATTTTCTTTGATTTCGGTTTCTTCGTCTATTTCCGATTCATTATTTATTTTATCTGGTGGATCGTTTCTTTGATGATGATCTTCTTCTCCTTCTTCTATCTGGTTTTGTCGTTTGACTGCTTGATTGCGCGTTTCCCTTCGATTGATTGTTGTTGGTTGTTCGCAAATTTCAACAATTGTTTGATCAATAGGATTGTCAAATTTTTCGAAATTTCTTTCATCGTCATTATTTAATGTTGGTTCTTCAATTTCTTCGTCAGAATAACGCAGTTCAAACTCTTCGTCTTCTGACTCATCATCGTCTTCCAGCCATTTTGAGATTTGATCGGCATCTTCAGATTTATTTGGATTTAATCGCTTCTGATCTTTAATTACTCTGCAATTCTCTTCGTCAAGGTTTACCGGATTTCTGGATAAGGCGTCTGCATTCACGTTTGTCTTCCCTGCTTTGTATATTACTTCATAGTCGGCTAGTTTCAATCTTCAACGGAGTATTCGCATAGTTGCATCTTGCGCGTTTTTGAACCACATTAAAGGTTTATGATCGGTGACTAGAGTGAATTTTCGCTCGTATAAATACGGTCGAAAATGTTTGACACAATAAACTATGGCTAAGACTTCTTTTTTGTATGTATCGTATTTCAGTTCGTTGTCCGTTAGTGTACGTGATGCATAAACTATCGATCTGTCCTTGTTTACTTCTTCTTGCGATAAGATTCCGCCTATGGCTATTCCTGAGGCGTCGGTAGTTAGAATAAATGGCTTTGAGAAATCTGGATCATGCAGCACAGGTTCTTCGCATAACTTTTGTTTTAATATTTCAAACGATTGATCTTGAGCGGTTCCCACTCAAAGCGAGAGTCATTTTTTAATAAATTTATTAATGGTTTGGCAAATTTTGAAAAATTCGGAATGAATCGCCTATAATATCCTGCGAGTCCAAGAAATTGTTTAATGTTTTTAGGCGTCTTTGATTTAGGAAAGTGATAAACGGCTTCTAATTTCTTTGGATCTGGGCAAACTCCATCTTTGCTAATTACATGCCCTAAATAAGTGACTTCAGTTTTTAAAAATTCGCATTTATCCGGTTGTAATTTCAAGTTAGCTTGTCGTAATCTATCGATTAGTGCATTGTATTACTTTTGGTGTTCTTCTAATGAGGCGGCATAGATCACAATGTCGTCCATAAACAAATAATTCCTGCCCTTGCAGGCCTGATAGAACAATGTCCATCAACCGTTGAAAAGTCGTAGAGGCATTTTTTAGACCAAAAGGCATTCTGTAAGAATCTCAGTCAGGATGGTTGCTTCTTTTACACACTGGTTTATTTTACAAATACAAATTTGCTTTGCGGCGCAACCCGCTACTATAACAGATTTTACCCGGATTAATCAAAGCACGCACGCCTCGATTTCAGAGATCACCCTTTCGTGATTTATCACTCTCTTTTTCCGCTTTTCTTCTGTCTTTACTGTAACACTGTCCGATCACGTCTGTCTCTTCTCAGTCTTTTTCTCTTTGCACTGTATTATCATTTTTCGTCATGTACGCCCTCATATTATCCTACTTACAGGTACTTAATTCCTATCTATATAGTAACACCTGTTCGAATCCTGCTCCGATTTCGGCTACGTCGGTATTGCAGATTCGTTCTCGCATCTTTCATACAAATAGGATCTTACAATTCTTTCAAACTCGTAATGTCCAAACGGCGAGTCGTAAACGCAGTTTTATGACTGTCTGCGGGGTCCATTTCTATTTGGTGGCATCCAGATGCTAAATCTAACACGGAAAATTTGAGCTCCTCCTAATTGATCTAGAATATCTACAACAGCGCTCTGCAACTCAGGCGAGCCGAATAACCAAGTAGTAACGCTGCGATTTTTCCGACATCCCCACCACTCTGACCGCGACCCTACCACTCTACTACATACATACGTACGCTCCGCCCCGTCTCATTTGTGTGTAGTATGTAACATATGTATCAATAACACCAGTATCGGCGTGCCGTCATCAAACGTGAGCCTTTCAGTAAATAAATAAAATAATACAAGTGGGTTATGTGAATGAGAAATTGTCACAAATAGCATTTTACGCGTGTAATACGTAAATGACGTTAATATGTTAGTAAGTTATATTTGTAATGTTATATCCAGACAGTAATTTTACATCTTTTAATAAATTGCAAATTTATAAGTATGTGCGTGACATCGCGTACTATCGTTAACTTTGTTTCTGTTGTAGGAAAATATTAATATTATAAATTTCTTAATGAGATGTTTGCGGTCGAACACTTGCATCAACAAGTTGTGAAATATCAACAGAAAATTTTGTTGTAGTTAAGCGTAATAAGTTTGACAATGTCTCGTCAGTCATTGAAGATCGATTTCTGTTTTTTATATTTTTCATCGCGGAAAATGTTTTTTCGTATAAGTAAGTACTAGCAAACATGGAATGAATCTTTAACGCAAATTTTCTTATATTTGGATATAAATTTTTATCCAAAAGTCTATAAAATGCAACATCTGTTTCCTTTCGAGATTGCAGAAAAACATCGTTTTGCAAATCGCAGAGTTCCAATTGTACATGTTCCGGCTGATCTTCTATTTTTACAGCGAGTGGATTATTAAAAAGATGTAAATCACTTTTTATCGCGTCGAATTCTGTAAAACGATTGTGAAATTCATCCAAAACTTCCTGAACAATATTAACTAACGAAGAAAATTTCAAATGTGGAAATGCACGGATCGACATTACCACCACTAGCCTCCTACGGCAGACGGCGCCCCGCCAGCGCTTTAAGCGAGAGTGCGGGAAGCGTCTCCGCTACGAATGAAGGAAGTGGAATAAACGCAATAGCCAAGCGTGGCTACTGGGCCGCCAGTTGCTGAGCTCTGATCTACAATGTTAGGTAGCAGATAAGCATCGCCAATTGTTTTTTCGTTTAACGCGCGAAAATCTAATACCATTCTCCATCGTTTATTTCCTTGCGAATCTTCTTTCTTGGGCACTATCTATATAGGTGTGTTGTATGGCGATTGTGATTGTTTTATTATTCCTCCTTTTAATAGTTCTCCTACTTATTTATTTATTTCGTCTTTATGGAGTTGAGGAAATCGATATTGCCGAGTATTTATCGGTTGATCGTCTACGGTTTTGATACTATGTTGGAGTACGTGAGTTGCTGTTAGTTGTTCTCCCGGAACATAAAATCTGTCTTGACTATTTTTTATTAAATTTATCACGTTGTCTCTCTCCTGGTTATTTAAATGATCTACACGTAATAACTCTATAATTCTTGAAAATCTACCGGACTTTTCATGCGGGCTTCCTCGAGACGTTACCAGGCATTTATTTATTTTGTAATTTGAGGAAACCTCTTTGTTAAGAGTCGCATCGACGTGTGAGAGGCTTCGTGCTGATTTTCTTCAGATTCTTCTGCTTTATATTTTGATTTTCTATGTCTCATAAATTTATCGATTATTTCTTCCGATTTAACTCGCGCGGATTTCATTGTTTTAGGAGATGGTTTAACAAAGATTTTATTTTTTAAAGACTTGTGGGGAAAAGTAGACTTTAACTGTTTTATTTTTTTAATAAGTTTACTAGCAGTGATTGAGCTGTTTTCCTTGTCGTCTTCTTTGTTAGTTTCTTTATTAGTTTTTTTTTATACCCGTGGAAATTTTATATCTCTTAGGGGGGTAAATTTTCCCCCTTTTAAGTTTTTATCAAAGGAGGTCGAATTGCGTAGTGAGGTTTGGTTACTTCCCTCCTCGCAATCGACGGATTCAAAGGATTCAGGAAAGGTTTGGATACTTTCCCCTCCAGGGATTGTGAGAGAAGTTTGGAGACTTCCCCCTTCATGGGTTTCGGGATTTTGTATCATTACAGGTGAGGTTTGGTTACTTCCCCCACCAAGGATTTCAAGAAAGGATTGATAATCTTCATCTTTTTTCTCTAAAATCTCAGAATCACTGCTTTTATTTAACTCAAACTTCTTTTTAGAAATATATTCTTGACTTTTATTTTTATTGTTATTTTTTTCTTTAATTTTATCTTTTTTCTTCGTTAATTCCGCGCATTTTTTATTTTCATATGCATTAGAGTCGTCGTCATATAAGGCGTTTTTATTTTTGCCAAACGAATATTCATTATTACGAATTTCGTTTGATGTAATCTGAGAGGATCCGGTCCTTGCTAGGTCACTGTCGGGGTCTGTTTTATGGGTATTTAACAGTTCGTTTAAAAGTCTAAGATTCTCTATTCGAACATAAAATGAAGATTCCGTTCGCGGTGCTACTATTACAGTCTCTTGAGAAAAGAAAGGTATTTTAATTCCGGAGATATCTAAGTGTTCTTGCGTGTAATCTATTTTAGTATTATTTTGATTTAAAAAATCGTTTCCAAGTATACCGTCTTGTGATATCGGAAAGTCGTCTGATACAATGTGAAATTTTATAGGTATTTCAAATGGTGTTAGAGTGATTTTGCCGTAAGTATATACCGGATAGTTGTTTATGCCGCTTAATTTTAAAATACTTGATCGATTAATTTTTACGTCTTCGGGTACATATTTCTTTTTAATGACGTTTGGTCCGGAACCTGTGTCTAATAACAACGTTATGAGCGGTATTGAGTCGGTTAATTTAATTCGAACTGTGGGTAACCGTCCGTGTTTGTCAAGATTTATTGTCACCGGATGTATGTCTGCTTTGTCAGAATTTACTTGGACGCGGGGCCCATTGCCGCAAGAGGATGTGAACCTCGTTCGGTCCCCTGTGGCACACCCGTCTTCGAGGGGCCGGCGAAGTTGCCCTGATTGTTTTCTTTTCTACGATTGTTACTCGCGATACGTAACTCGCAGTTTTCTAGGAAATGACCCGGTTCTTTGCAGTATCGACAAAACGAACCGCTGATCGACCGAGACTGATTTAAACGGCATTCTTTGGCAGTATGACTATAATTGTTGCAAATTTGACATACTGTTCTAAGTGGTTGAGAACGATTACGTTGTTCATTTTGCTTTTTCCAACAATCTTTCGCAGAATGACCGGTCTTATCACACTACTGACAAGTCACGGGTAGTTTATTATTATTCCGATTCAAATTGTTACTCGATCTACAATCTTTCGCGTTATGGCTCGATTTCGAGCACAATTGACAGGTGACGCGATTTTCTTGCACTACGTTTATACTTTGACGCGCTCGCGGTTCGCGAAGGCGACATTTATCGGCACTATGTCCACGCTTTTGGCAAATTTGACAAACTAAAATCTCGGATCCTAAATCACTATGTTTATTTTGGGAAAATAACTCGAGTTTTCGGCAACTTCCAGTTGTGTGACCCTCTTTATAGCATATTTAGCAAGTTTCTTGTTTATGCGCTTTGGTCTTGTCAGTACTCGAGTTAACGTGTTTTCCCTGTCGTATGTCATTTATAGTGCGTAATTCCCTTTCTATCCGTAATGCGTCAGTTACAGTTACCTGAACATCCAAATTTCTGGAGATTCGTTGTTCAATCTCCGGTTTCAATCCACGTATAAAACATTTGCACATGTCTTTCTTTAAATCTGTTTTAATGTTTTGAATACGCGAGCTATCATCTGCTCCCTGGTAAGCTTCTAATATCTGTTTACCTAACATTTTTACTCTATTCGCATAAGTAATTACATCTTCGTTACCCTTTTGATAAATACATTCTAATTCTCCTTGTAATTGATACACGCTTTTAGGAGAACCATACACCCGTTTTAAGAATTTCGTTAATTGTGCGATGTTATCAAAGTTTTCGTCTTGTATAGTACGACGAGCCTCACCTACTATGCGAGTTCGTATGACCTTTGTAAATTGACTTTCTGCCTCCTACGGAAGCATAGATTTAGCTTCCTCGCACCCTTTGATAAAATAATTCAATGGAATATTTGTTCCATCAAAAAAAGGTACGGCTTCAACGCGTATTTAAGGGTAGCAAAAAGATTAGAAGCTGAATGCGCCATGATTTCAAGCTCAGTATCGCTTAAATGTAATAAATCTGTTTTTATATCAGTTATAGTTAGTGTACGACTCTCGTCGACAAGCGGAGCGGATGGACCGACGACGGTTTGATCAATTATACTATCACTAAATTCCGTTGTCGATCGTAACGGTGTTTGAGGTAGCGATGTAAATGAAGCAAACGGATTGATATTACTTTCGTCGAGCTCAACGCGCGAAGCACCCGTCGTTTGTTCGGGCGTAGAAGTAGCTGTCGGTTTTCTTAGTTTTCTTCGCGTTCCAGATTTGATCGCGGCTTTATATGGTTTATTTATTTCGTTTTTGTCTGTCATGGACCTCGTAGTCATTCCTATTCCTCACATTCGCGTTTTTATATCCCGGACGAGTCCCCAAAATTTCAATGATCTGTTGCGTCCTGAGCCTATGGTTACGGTCGGGCATTAGTGGTAGTACGTAACAGACGCACTGACATATTCAAGCGAACGTGAAGTCTATCTCGGCACACTGACACAGATAAGGAAGTCAGAAATACGCGGGTCGAGCGAGACAGTTTGGCAACGCAGACAGGCCAACGGGGTTACCCGATTTTTCTCTGTCTAACGTATTCTCACTCGTCGGTTCTCTTTTAGGTCTAAGACGCAAGTCTCAATTACCAAGGACGGAACCACGCGAATTAACGAGGAATGAACGGGTTGTTTAATGAGTGTGATTGATTTACTAGTAGATTGTTAGTTAGACGAGGTCCATAAGAGTTAAATTAATTAAAGCCGGATTTTGTTATGAAAATATTAGCATAATCGTTTATTCAAATAGGATTGTTAATATTATAATAAAAATCGACGAAAAGACATGAATAGGCTTCGTATAAACTTGCGTTAAATTGACACGTACAGACGGTTCGGGTTCGATAATGTATCTTACCGATAGCATTTCTTTATAATTGTTACAATCGGCGGAATGATTAACTGGAGTGAGATCAAGATTATTGAGCTGGATTAATAGAGAATCTCGAGTCCGGAGCGTGTTTACCAGAAATCATTTCTTGTCAAAATACACTGACACTAGTTAGTTATGGGTCGTCGGTCGGATCCGTCTCCGCAAGAGATCGTAAAATGAGAGGGTCTATTTTGTTCGGAAGATTCTACTTTAACATAGGCACTGTTCATTTAACTATTAGTAGCAAATCGAGATAATCAATTAAGAGTAAATAACTATTATTGAATAATTGATCGGATAAATGTTTACAATCGTTATTACAGTACACGGAATTGTAACGTTACGTTGTGTATCGAGAATTAGAATTGGTTGTAAGAATTGATGATCCTGACTGCTGCTCATGGCGAAATGCAAAATATGTATGTGTCTGTATTAGTGAGACTTACAATGTACTCGGTGATATATTTTGGGTGATAGCGGTGCTGGTAACTGGGAACGTCGCTCGGTATTTGGTCGTAGGTGTTTCGCTTGGATTCGCGCTGCTCGCGGATGATCAGAAGTGGAGTCGGCGGCGCTCTCAAGAGATTTGACGAATGAAAAGGTGCGAAATTTCCTTGATTTAACGGAGTGATCGATTGATTGTTAGTCACTCTACCGCGCAAAGCTGTTCTCTGACGAATCTCAACTGTATTGAAGATCGAACTGTAGTGAAAACTGCGTAGCGATTGACAAGCGTGGATCGTGGATCCATGCTTTTATAGATGCTGGTTGATTTCTCCTTCTCCATCGTTCTTTCTCGAAATTTCGACCTCTCGTTCGTTGACCCCCGAAACGAAGACCTTTCCCCCTTCGTTTGATTCTCCGGATCGATAGGATTATCATTTGTTTAGATCTCGCTTATTGGTACGTGCCCTATCTTGTTTATGTCTGCGAGTCGCAGCTCTAGCCTCTCGATTTACGACTTCCCTTCTAGAGTTACGAGAGCTGTGGCGGTTTGTCGGGAATTGCGTCTCCACGCTTATACAAAGGGCTATTGTCCGTTAAAAATTTCTTCTCAGGAGTCGATAAGATTTGTTTATTAACACATTGTTGACCGGTCACGAGTTAACTCGTGTTTTTATGGCCGAACGTTGCTGACCGGTCACGAGTTAACTCGTGATGCGTTTTGTGTACCATTACGGCAGTAATGGTACACAACGGCTTTTATATTTGTAAAAGCTGTTGTGTACCATTACACGTAGGTGATTGTTATACTGCTTATCATACGAAAAAGAAATATTAAAAGTTGAATAATAAATAAAATTTATTAAAGTTTATTTTTATTGTTTTACTTCCACTTCCAATTACGAAATAATAGCCGGTGACATGAGATAAATTTTCAGTAAAATTGCCGGTCAACAATGTGTTAATCCAGGTGCTCTAGGCTCGATTGTTTATAGTGCGTTGTCCGGCGCGAGTCTGTCTGTTTTATCTCGGCTGGCTCTTGTTTCTCTTTCCAGGAATTTGTTACGGAAATTATTCCTTAAGACTACTGCTAGACTTAATAATTATTTTACGTTGCAAAATGAAGGGGATCGTGGAGTCCAGGACGTAACAATATATATATCACGTACAGTTTTTGCTCAACATTCTGGAAACGGCTCATAAGACCTTATATATTTCTTAGTTTATAAGGTAAATGTCTCAGTATCCGGACCCCTAAGGAATAGCGGCAAAATATCTACTGATTTAATGTGTAAAAGTATCATAAAATTAAACCATTTTTGTTTTATTAAAAGTTTATACAATCAATTATTGAAAACTGAAACAATAAATACACGGCCCGGAAAGCCGGAGATTCCAGGTTCGACTTCTGGCTGAGGAGTTTTTTTCGCAATATTTTATAAATTAATTAGGGGGGTATTCGGGGTCCTTCTTATATGTAATGCAAAAATTAGCATTGTATGTGATTTTTAGAATTGAAATTTCAATTCGAAAAACTCACGTGAAAAATTTACACGTGAAAGCGTATAGAAAAATGTATTCTTACATTTATACGCACATTTATCCGCATAACATCCTGCGAACGGCTCTTTACGACCATTCGTTTATTAGTTTGAAACAATAAACTTATTAATAACTTTCTGAATTACGTTAGATGTACTTTTTTTCAATAAAAATACAAAAATGTGTAAATGTCTCAGTAAGCGGACAACCTAAAATGCATATATATCTAATAATTTTCAATGTTATATAATCATTATTTCACTTTATGTTAATAAATTTTTATATTTTACGATAAAAATTTTTATTTATAATTATATTAAAAATTACAATATAAAATGAATGGAATTTGCATTATTGTCCGGATACCGGGACACGTCCGAAGGCTGGGACATTTACCTTATATATGTGTGTAAAAGTTCGAGATATTCGCGGAAAACTTTTTTTTTTCTTGACCCTCTATAAAAGTGTACGCAGAGGTCACATCAATGGGACTTTTGAGATATTGTTTAAAACGACGAAATAAAAATCCATGCAAAACTTCAGCTGGGTACTAATTTTTTTACAGAGTTGTCATATTTTTGGCTAATTTTCTTGGACTAATAGTCTTATCTCACGGAACACAGCGCAAATTTTTGCGCATTAATATCCAATGTGCTTATTTCTCGACTTAAGGCTTGTCAAGCTTTTGTGCGACATCAATAGCGTAAACACTTGCCGCTTCGAGCAGCCGAGTGTACGTACGTACATCGACGGTCTCGACACACAATCGGATACTGTTAGTCGCGGTGTTGCATTCCGCCGACGACAACGGCTTGTCTCGGTTCACCAAAGGCGAGATCAAACACGGGCGTCAAGCAAAGAGAGAACCAGGGGTTCTGAATTAACAATAAGTAAGCGGAAACCCGAGAGGCTTGTTGCAGCGCATTTGACTTTGTAGCGTGCGCGCGCGCGGCATTTACAAGTGTCCTTTGCCTTATGACGTTTGCGAAAATGTCTGCAATATACATTCGCGAGCACGTTATCTCTCTCTTTTCTGCGTTTTATAAACTCTCAAAGCTCAGAAACGCGGAGCGCATGCAACTCGCGTAAACGCGAGCACAAACATTTGTGGCAAATGCCTCGGAATTGTTCTTCGTCTTGAGTGTCGTTTTCACGTACGCGTGCAGAGAGGAAACTGGTTGAAAAATTTTGTCGAAATTAATTTAAACGAGCAAACGAATAGAAAAAAGTACAAACGTAAGCCAATAATAATAATAAACCATCAAGATGTGTGTGTGCACACGTTTTAAATCAAATTAACTCTTTGCCCTCGTTGCTTTTTTGCTAAAGAGTTGATGAAATTTTTTACAACTGACATAAAAACAAACTGTATGTAAATTAACGGATAACACTATTTTATTTCAACACTTTTATATATTATATATTTTTACATTACATGCAGATCTACTATTGAATATATCAAGCTTTAATAATATTTTAATTATCAAATAAGCGTAATTTTGTTTGAATCAAGTGGTGACTGTGAGAATCGAGTGCAGGGTTAATTTATATATATATATATATATATAAATTTTGTGTATTAGATACTCTCGGTTCACATAGCGATTATATTAAAGATAGTTTACAATCGGATTTTCCGAAACGTGTTTGCTTCAATTATAAAAAATGCCACTTGAGACTTGTATATGTATAATTCTTATAAACTTTATTGGCGACATCGCGCGTGCCATCGCATTTATGAAGTTAGCACCGATTCGCGCGGCACATTCAGTGCATGAAATTGCGGCTGTGACGAGGATCTCATAAAACGTCGCTATATCGGCAATCCGAGAAAAATCTTCTAAAAGTATAGCACTTCGTAAAAAGAGAACACACGTGTGTGTGCTGTGACACGCTGTAAAATATTTCGTCATAATACAGTAACACAATTTTAGCAACGGAAATATGAATAATAAATAATAGAAATAATAAAATCTCCCTCCTTCTTTATAGGGGGGGGCAGGAGAATAAACCATCTCGGGCGTGTTGTAAGAACCCCGACTAGAAGAAGAAATTTATCTACCGGTGGAAAATAATTTTCTGAATTGTGAATTCGAGAATATTTGTCAGTCGAAATGTTTTTGCACATGTATTGTATTTGCAAATTTGCGCTGCGTATATTTTTTTCACAATTACACGCGAGTAAATTAAGAATAATTAAACATAATATATTTTTACACAGGGCATAATTTAGCACAGAACGCGAACGAGTAAAATCCTGGCGAGTGTAAGTAAACGCATTATACAAAATACACAGCAAGTACTATTATTTAATCCGGTTTACGAATGGATACTCACACATTCAGCTTGTGCACGAAAATCGCACACGAGCCGCTGGTGACATTTCATATTCCTTGTAGCGCGTTCTCGGGAGAAGCGACGGGAAACAACATCCAAAAGAGAGAGAGAGAGAGAGAGAGAAAGAGAAATCCCACAGATTTCAGTAGAGAGGAAATAAATCGGTCTTATACTCCAAAAAAAAAAGCGTCAGTGTTAATACAAATTGTGTTAGCGACAAAGCAACTCTTTTTCGGATATACTTTGACTGTTCCGTGTATTTCGCATTTTGCAGGACACATGCAGGTATATGCGAAGAAGGAAAACTCGATATGCGACATGTCAACATCGGTTTCCCGTGAGAACCTCGCGTACGTGTTCTCATCGGTATTTTGTATATGTGTGTGTTACAACTTGCATGTTTCGTATGCGCGTCATGCGGATCTCGTCTTGCCGCGAAAGCTTACAGCTGTTTCTATCGCAATTTCCTTGTCGCGAAGCTAAATAGTTTCGGCGCGATGAGCTTGACACGAAGAGATTTAGAACATTTAACACCGACTCTGTCGCCGCGCCGAATACTATAATGGAACAATCACAATTACAGAATTTAATGAAAATAAAGCAATCTACTCCGAGCTATTTGGTAAACGGAACGCTGTTCGTAATAATAATTTTAAAAATATCTCTTAAAACTTTTTTGTTATAAAAGATAGAGAGAAAGGGAGAAAGAAAGAGAGAGAGAGAGAAAGAGAAAGAGCAAAGATAAAAATAATATAACAGTGATAACAATAATATGTATAAAACTGGAGAATGTTATGATTATAATTTTACTTTCTAAATTATAATATATATAATATATCTATATGTATATATATTAATATATAATATACATATATATTAAATGTACGCTAGTTTTAAATTACTGTATAATATTTTTTTAATTAATCTCGTATAATATAATTTTTATGATAGTATTCATCCGTGCATTTTTCTTTAATATAATCGAGAATTTTATTGAAATAACTTTTAATAATTTCCGTTAATTATATTTACACAAGTTAACGTAACTGCAAGTATTCCAATTTACATTTGAGACGTTCTGCGTATATTCGATTGCGGATTAGAAATACAATCAGCGTCATCTGGTAATCACAGCATGAAACTGCAACGTGCTTATCGACCGGACGCGCATGCGGTACGTATAAAATTTTTTTTTAAAGAAACACAAAAGACCATAGTTGCTGTTTATAATTATAAATATGTCACAATTTACTTATCATTTCTTTGTAAATCATATCACGTTCTACTTTGTTTTTATATTGTTTGTTTTTGTATCAAAATTAGGAAAAATATTGGCAGATAAAAGAAGAAAGACACATTGCGCGTATATGTATATTGTAATAATTATAATATTTATTATCACAAACTATATGAGTTACACACACATTGTACACAGTACAGCATTATATAAGAAATACCGCGTTTACAACTTCGTCAATAATCCGTTCAAGTTTTCTCTCCGTCGTGCGATGAGAACTGTGCGATTTGTAAGTCACAACGTGACTCACAAAGACCTCGACACGTGGATATACATGCACACACACACATATTTGTATACATGCGCCATAAAAACGCTTCTTACAACAAACGGATTATGACTTCTTGCTTAAAATTATTTTTCGCTCGGATTTCGAAAAAGGGACGATCATTAAGGAATTATCGTACGATGTATATGGATATCGTAAATATTGCAATATAAAACATCTCTCTTTCTAATATATAAGATTTTTTTCTCGCAGGTCCCCTTGTCGCTTATCTATCATTTATAATATACACGGTATGTTGTCGTTCGAAAATTTTACGAAGAAGGCACCTTCTTGATAGAGTGTGTGTGTGTCTGTGTGTGAGAAAGTGAGAAAATTATACACGTAAACTTATATAAAAATTATGTTGTCTCGCGTACAGAACTACTATATACACTAACGATCTAAATATTTTATAATTCGTACACATATAGATGCTATAAAATCTTCATATATATATATTCTTCGTGCTATAATATTCTTTTGTTTTCTTACTTTATTTATACTGCCGCGCGTAAGGTGCTCGAGTAATTTTTTTTCAAAAACTCTTGTCGTAAAAATATATGTCGGCAAATAACATTTGTATGTATATATGTGTATATATATGTATAAATAACTACATACGGAAAAAAATTTGCTAGAATAGCAAAAACTTAGTTACACGGCCAGAAAAAAAATTTGCTGAGATATTTGATTGAGATATTTGTTTTGTTAACAAAAACGTTCTTGACAACAAACGTTTTTGACAACAAACGTTTTTGATGACGTAACAAAATAAAAACAATTAGAGTAGATTCAAAAATTTTTCTTGCTGCCCATATAAGAGCAACAAATTTTTTCCCGTGCTTATGTAATTATTTATTATATAGTGTACATAGTTTTATTTGTATGTACGTCGCGTCTGATATTAGAACGATAAAACCACAGTTTGTTCAAGTTTTCACAGTCGAATCCCGAGATGATGCGCTTTGGAATGTAAATAACGCTGCGGTAATGTAAATAAACATCTGCAATGAACAACACTTTTAACAAGTTTAAATTACGAATTAATTTCGAATATTTTTTTCTCACGTCGGTGCGTGATCGCATTATTGCTTGAGAAACTTAACAAAACTGTGGCTCTTTACACACGCCAGATCGGAACTTGAACGTTCGATTTCGCTTTTGTTAAAAAATTCTTTCTTACCTCCGTTTCCCATCGTGTGAACGTTTATATTATGCGTGTGAAACAAGTATATGCGATTTGCTCTTAACGATTAAACGAACGAATTCTTAAAAAACAATAACAAGGGATATATACCGTATGCCGCTAGAAATCACATTAAGGTTGCTTTTGACGGACGAGCGAACGAGCTCGTGTCCGTCGAATGTTATTTTCTTCGTCCGATCTGAGAAAAAGCAGCGAGACAGTTCCTTCCGCGATAATTTTGGATCTTAGATATCAGCGACTCGTGGTTCAGAAGAAAACGCAAACAATCGCGTTTCGCGATAACACGAAAAGTCACGTTCCGTTTGATATAATCACACGGAATACGACTGTTTTACGGCGTTCGTATAGTCGCGAATTCACGTCACACCGAACAGTTCGCGATCATTCGAAGCTTTGTAAACTTGTTCAAGCAAGTGAAAATAATTATAACGTCGAATATATATAAGAACGTTTAATTAAAACTTGTTGAAATAAATGTTTTGGTAATTATAGTGTGTCCTGAAAAAAGAGAAAACGCAGCTTGTAGTCAAAAATCATCAGAAATATCACGATATGGTAAAAAAGGCAAAGTGGTATCTCCATTTCCCGCTTTGATCAATCGAATTTCGCGTCCGTTCCGTTGAGATATGCAATTGTCCGTATTTTATTAATTTGTTGTTTTTTTTTATTGTGAGGAAATCCGACGCGCTGCCGCGAGCGAACGTTTCGGCGACGCGTTTCATTCGCGGACTCGGCACGCGCTGTACAGTTAGGAAGTTTGGTCCGATTGACTTTGTGTGTGACTTGATATCTCCCGTCGACAACGTCTCATCACATGTGAATGGTCGCGGCAGTGTAGCGGGCCTCGCCTCTTCGCCAGCTCCATTGACTCGGACGATACTGCAAGATCAATCGAGCAACACGGGAGAGGTGAGTCTCGTTGAAGATCAATAGTATCGTCAGTGAAAAATCCGCGATCAGTATTAAATTTAACTTCAAGGTTTTACTTTTGATAAAGAGTAAGTGAATTAATTAAATCACTCAATATATTTAATCTTTAATAGAATTAACCAAGGCAGTTAATGAAAGAATATTTAATAATCAAAAAGATAATGCGTGAACAGAAAGATAGTATCTATAGAATTGCTTTACGCGAGATTCATGTAATTTAATGAACTCTCTCTTCCTTCTTACTTTAATCAGCATCTGTCCTGATGCGCTGTGGGGATTGCGATAAGCGTAGGCACCCCAGCCCGCGAGACCCACCACCAGAGCGATGACAGTGAGAATGCCGATTATCCCTGAGACGCTCATGCCCATGTTATTTGGAGCTGAAAAATCAAGGATGCGATTTGCGTTATAATAACTGTACAGCTCACAGAATCTTCAGAAAGAAGAAAGATTTCTCTCACAATTAATAATAAATTAAAAATGAATAATCCAATGAGAAAATACAGAAATAATAAATCGTTTATTAGTCAATTTTTGAAGACTCACTGGTGCTCTCCAAGGGACTGGTGCCTGGTCTCTCCTCTTGTTTCGCGCTCATCTCGTTTGCCGAGATTGCCTTCTCCGGGGAATGCAGGTGATCGTGGTGATCGTACTCCTCGTCCTTGTTGAACGTCGTGATCTCGACCGGACAGTTGTCCGGCTCCTTGATATTCTGCGCGTCGCAACGCTTCATGACCCAGTCTTGACGCTGTCGGGACGTGCCGGTGCTGCACTGATTTAGCGCCGGGCACCACTTGCAGTCGAAGTCCGGCACTTTCATCAGACAGTCCCGGCAGTTGTTCATATTGAGACATGTGGGCAGTGCCTTCAGGTAGATGACTGTGCAGTTCTTGATGTCCTCCTGGTTGAAGTGGACGCGGTGATATTCGTAAATAGTTTTCCGGCGCACGACTGCAAATCAATTCAAGTGTTCAATAGCCAGTAGCCGATTACGACGGCAATCGGCCGCTACGATTATTTAATACAGCAGTCAACGAGCGAAAATTGGGTAACAAGAGTGAAAACATGGGAAAAGAGCACTCACAGAACACGGTTCTGTCCAAGATGTAGGCGTCGCTGAGGCCGACCTTGACGGGATGCAGCTTATCCTCGATACTGTCAACCATTAGCGGTATCATCGAGTAGACGAACACGATGTCACCGTTCTGATGCAAGGTCACCTGGAAAGTGAACGCGCCGGCGTCTGGTTTGTCTTGCAGCACCACCTTCTCCCACTCGACCGTAAACGCCGTGCCTGAAGGTGGATGAAAAAGGAAGATAATAATCTCTCGAGCGCCGCCAGCGCTCCATATACCGCGCTCTGTGCGGTGAACACACACACACACGCGCGCGCACGAGTATTTTACACAGTTTTCTTCGCCGCGCTTGGGCGAGAGACGTGCAATTACGACGGTTCTAAATCGTCGCGCTGATTTACCCTCGGTGGACTGATTACGCGAATGCTTTGCGACACACACTTGTGGTGTCCAGTGAGATTACGAAATGGGCAACTCGATTGTTCTTTTTTCCCAACAAATTACGGTGCAAGATAAATGGCAAAATAATTAAAAAATAAGAATAATAAGAAAAAATTAGAGATAATTTGAAAAATCGAGAACTCTCAAATTATGATATAGAATTTCTTTCAATTCCTAGAATATCGGAAATTCTCTCGAAATAATAAACAAAATGAAAAACATGCGCGACCAAGAAAAATGATTGGCACTGATTGGTGACGATATCAATTAGGTGACGGGTAATTTTCTGGAGAAAAGCGCGGGGCGGACACGAAATAACGCCTTGCTTCCGTACGAGAATTCGATGACTCACCGTTGTCAGCGTATTTCACGTAACTGGCGTTCGACAGACGAGTATCGAAATTCGCCATGAGCGGCGCGATGTATTGAGTAGCCGCCAGCCAACTGTGCACATATTCGCCGGTGTACAAGAAACCGCCTGTGGCGATGGTGATATTTCGCACCTTGTGCCCGTAGAACGGGAAATCGAACTTCAGCTTGACAGTCTGAAACGTCGTGAAAAGAGATCGTGAAATTCAGTGGAAACGTCGAATTCGATAGCCGCTGAGAGATTGATACGATGAAAGTTTAAAAAAAAAAGAGTCACAGTTGGTTATTTCTTTTAAAATTTGGAAAAAAAAGAAATTCAAGAAAATAAAAAACTAAATAAATAATAAAAATAAATTTGCAAGAGATAAATAGCTATATCTTCAAAATTTTAGTATAATTAAAAATTAGGAATCGAAACAAATGAATGAAAGAAAAGGAAATCTCACTGCGGCGCGTCGATGACTCTGGCTGAGCAAATTGTTGACCCTGAGATCCGGGTGGTTATCCATGTCGACCCAGTACTTCTTGCAGATGTCGGCGTCGATCATGAAAGTGCTGTTGTAATACTGATGCGTGTCGTTGACCATTTTGGTAATATTGTTCTGCGTGAGCGTCGTGTTAGATACAGAGAACTTTTCAGAGAACTTGCTAATGGAGATGTCGCCGATGTCGTCGATCTTTTCAGTATCCGCAGCGATACCGCCGCTTGTCTCATCCGTTTCCTTCGTATCCGTCACCTTTGTTTGGTTGGTACCGACGTTCGTTGCCTGTTTATTTTGCTCCTCGCTATTGACCTGCTTGTTTGTACCGTGCTCCTTGCCGGTGATGTTATACAATGTTTGATTCGCCAAGACGGACACCGTCGACTGCAAACAAACGTAGGTTGTTGAAAATAAAGAAATTTTGTGTATAATTGTTTTTCAAGCAAAATGAACAAAGAATCAAACTGCACTTACCATCTCACCGGTTATGAGGGGGGGCTTGACGAACGTTGGCTGCGTCGACTGCGAGAAAAAAAACCAGACAGAGTGTCGAATAATTAGCGAAGTAATCACTTTAACCGGAACGTAAATGAATTAACTACTAAATCTACTGCTACTTACCGTATCCGGTGGCTTCTGGGCGGAACTTCCAGACGAAGCTTTTTTCTTCAACTCCGGTTTCGTGACAGAAGGAGCGGTGTCGGTCTCGAGCGGATGGACAGTAGAAGTGAGTAGAACTTCGCTGGTCGAATAAGCTGTGGAATTCGACAAACTGGACACGTTAGTCGTGTTCGACGTCGCCACTGATACTTTTTGCTGCTGCTGCTGCTGTTGCTGAGGCTGCATCAACATATGTTCGGACTCGTTCTTCTGCTCGTTTGTCACCACCGTTTGGTCGGACGCCGCTCGCCGATTTCTCGTTACATCCTGGCCGTAGATCAATCTCACGTCGAACGACTGATGATCGAGCGACGATTTTTCTTCCAACGTGACGTAATTGTAAAAGGAATTGTCTAGAACAAAAGATGAGGAAGAAGCGTAAGCTCGTTACTTCGATTCGATTTGTCGTTTGTCTTAACGCAATTGTGTTCCTTAGGTTTTCTTTTCTCGGTATTCGTATGTACGTTAATTATTTCCCACAAAAGAATATACGCGAGGTAACGTACGTTCATGCGAGAGAGAACTCAGTTCGATCTTTCGTCCTTGAGCTCTTCTCGTCGCAATTACGATTCTCCGCGCGATGAATTATTGAATGATGATTCGAGCGATGATCGTGCGTGCGTTTTGCGCGCGCATTGTACGCTGCGGTTCGCACGCGGTGATCATCACCGACGCAATTCTCTTTGAGGAGTTGACCATTTAACTGATGTCGAAGAACCCCGAGATCAGTGCCACGAAGTGTAGGTACGAATTAACCTCGATTTCTACGTTACCCGATAAATATTGTGATTGCAAATAGCAAATAACCACTTCATAGGCAAAAGTTTGCGCGGGAAAAAAAACTTTGTTAACAAAATGGTAATAGTTGTTTTTTTATTTATTTATTTTAGTGTTTTGTATTACTCGACAACATGATGTAATTACCGGTGTAATTGAGAGAAGGAGAAACATATAAAAATGTAGAACTTCTCGACATCCTACGTCGAAAGAGCGGTACGTGTTTAGAGTCGTCGACGATGAGGAACGGGAAGTCACGGGTACGATCGACCGGATAGAGTAATAATTGGCGATCCGACAGAGATCGGAGCGAACGTGCAACAAGCGTGTGTGTGACGTAAGTGCCAACCGGAACCGATCGATCGGACAGCCCGTCATCTTGGAAAGTTTCTTCCCCCGGGAACGTTTCCTCCTTAATTACGTGTTCCTCTCTTTCTCTCTCTCTCTCTCTCCCTCTCTCTCTCTCTCCCCTTCCCTCTCCCTCTCTCTCTCCCTCTCCTTCTCTCTCTCTCTTCCTCTCTCTCTTTCTCTCTCTCTCTGGCTTTTCTCGTGATCTTATTCTCAGAAGACAAGTTTAGACAGACGCAGCGGTGAGAGAACTTATTGGAATTCGCAGACTTTCGAGAGCTTTTCATTGAGCGTGTCGATTCTCAAATAGAGAAGCTTTATTAAGCGCGAATCGACGCTCTCGTTTTTCCTTGACGATAACGCGCTAAGCTTCATGGATATAAGTGTCGGCTTCGTCGGAATCGCGCGCGATCGTACAAACACAAATTTTTTTCGTAATATTTTAAAATTAGTTAGGAGGGTATCCGGGGTCTCTCATATGTGAGATGCAAATCCAGCATCCCGTATGAATTTAAGAATTGAGATTTCAATTCAAAGAATACTTACTTGTAAAAATTTACAAGTTGAATTCACGTTACATGTGTATATATATATACAGGGTGTCNATAAAGTCTGGAAACACCTTTATATTTTGGAAACGGTTCGAAATTATGAAAAATCGCGAAATACGTATTCAATCGTTTTGAGGGACTACTCTTTTAAGGGGGTTGCGGATGTTTCCACCTCTTAGGGGGACTTTCCAGGGGGCCCCCTCAAAATTTTTAAATAGAACCCCGCATATTGTAGTATATCAATTGAAAGGGTATAAAAAAAGAAATCTTTTGGTTCAAATCAGAAGTTGATACAGTGAGCCGTTTAGGAGTTAATTACAAGCAAAGTTCGGGAAAAGTCAAG